GTAATTTGTAAAGAAAAGGGCTGGGCACAGTGGCTCATGCCTGTAATCCCAGCACTTTCGGAGGCAGGTGGATCATGTGCTCAAGAGATGGAGACCATCCTGACCAACAGGGTGAAACCTCGTCTCTACTAAAAATACAAAACAAATTAGCTGGGCATGGTGCTGGGTGCCTATAGTCCCAGCTACTCAGGAGGCTGCGGCAGGAGAATCACTTGAACCCAAGATGTGGAGGTTGCAGTGAGCTGAGATCATGCCACTGCACTCAAACCTGGTGACACAGTGAGACTCCATCTCAAAAAAAAAAAAAAAAAAAAAAGGTTTAATGGACTCACAGTCCCACGTGGCTGGGGAGGCCTCACAATCATGGCAGAAAGTGAAAGGCACATCTTACATAGTGGCAGACAAGAGAATGAGAGCCAAGCGAAAGGGAAACCCCTAATAAAACCATCAGATCTCATGAGACTTATTTACTACCATGACTAAAGTATGGTAGTAAATAAGTTTAAATAAGTAGTAAATAAGTATGAAACCGCCCCCATGATTCAATTCTCTCCCACAGGGTCCCTCCCACAACATGTGGAAATTATGGGAACTACAATTCAAGATGAGATTTGGGTGGGGACACAGCCAAACCATATCCATATGGAATGCACTTGTGCATACCTAGAGTAATAAAGGGAAAGAATAATAATAATAATAATAATAATAATAATAGCTGTTATATATAGTACTTACCCTGTGTCAGCTACTACCTAATCTGCTTTTACAAATAACTTCTTATTTAAATTTGTTTATCAATCCAATGAAGGAGATGATATTATTCCTATTTTACAGATAAGGAAACTAATAAGGAAACTAAAGGACAGAAAGACAAAATGCCCATTCATACACCTAGTACAGGGTATTTGATTTGAACCCAGACACTCTAATGAACTTGTGCTCTTAACTACAGACAAGATTTGCAGTGAGACCTTATGTTAACATCTTACTAGTGTCATTCCCCTGGTCCAGTTATTCTCTTTATGTCTCAATATTTTCATCTGTAAATAGGAATAATTATGTGTATACGCATGCATATACACTCACACGTACATATGTCACAAGATTATTAAGAGAGCATAGTGAGATAATGAATTTGAAAAGGCTTGGTGCTTGTCATCACTGCTGCCAACTGACCTAAGCTAACATGGCCTCAAATGTCAGGTTCTTTTGATAAATATTGAAGCCTCTTGCAGTTAGAGCTGAATTATGCAAAGACTATGTTCCCCTCCCTTACAAACCCAATACCTGATAGTATGCTATTATGAAAGTAAGTCTTGGAAAAATTTTGCTAAATGTCTTAACATTCATTAGCAAACAATTACAAAAACATTCCTGCTCTCTACTCTTAGACACTCCAATGGTAAGCTCACTAAACAGACATTCTAAAGTTAAGACTAGCAGCCTTGGAGTCAAGGCAGAAAACAGGAACCTCTTGTGAGGTGGCAGTTCCCTTGAACACTACACCCGCAGTAATAGAGATCTGAGGACATCTGTTTCTTTATACTTCATTCATGCAATAGCAGGAGGATGTGTTCAATCTCCCTACAAGCCACTGTGAAAATTACTCATTTTGCCAGTGAAAATGATTCTCTAACATGCCCTGTTCTAATGAACAAACTCTCGGGTATCAATTTCCATAACCATATCTGAAGTGTTAGCATCACTTTTAGAGTGTGGATTCCTGATGAGAGTACTTTAGCACTAATTAACTGCTTCTAGAATATGGACTATAGTGAACTTGTACCTTGTCACATATTTAAAACTAGCTTATACCAAATTAAAGTATCATCACACAACAATATAACAGTGATATGTTTGCTTAATAAATATCATAGTCCCTCCCTCTTTCTGAATCCTTTATCTTGGTCCATCCCCACACCCAACATATAGCCCCAGTAGAATAGGTGGCTAGAGGTTTTGGAGCCTAAATGTTTATGGAATCTAATCAGAAAGTGTGAGATTATAGAAAATTCTGTATCATTTCTCCCCAAGAAATAAAAAAGCTCATCATGTATATAAATGGATATATTTAGAACAGTATAGCAAAGTTGAGATTTTTCTACATAATATAAATGATTATCTCTAGCTACACAAACTGTTGCTTTTTATAAGACACTTGAGTAAAACTTGCTGGGATAGAGAGAGACAGTCCATTATGCAGTATTACCCACAATACTGAAATTGTGGATATTCCTTTAGTCTTTCATCTATGCATGGGTTTATCAAGATATGTATATGTATGAATTTGTGCATGATTTTAAAGATCCCATGACTCCAAAATAATTGCAGTTTATTTTATTACTATGAAAGATAGCATATTCTCACTGTAAAAAAATTAAACGATACAGAGAAGAATTAAAAAGAAAGTTAAAATATTTTAAAATGCTACCATGCAGTGATGAGCACTGAAAACCAATCTCTCTCTTAACACACATGCATAATTATCAAAGAGATCATGGTGAAGACTTGGGTTAAGAAGTGGAAAAAGTCATAGCAAAGTTCAAAGCCTTCTAAGAAGTGAACGCTTACATTTGCTGCCAGGTGAAAGTTCCTGTTCTGTGGCAAACCACTTCTGTGGGCTTTTGGAGCAAACATGTAGTATGAATTGAAACGTTTTAGAGTTGTAGCTCTAAGGAGCTAACCTGGTCTGCACCATAACACAAAAATCATCTCTGTGATGGCAGACTTTCCCTTTTGCTGATTATTTTCAGGAAATTCCAGAAAAAAAATATTAAATCATTTCAATACCAAGATCACATCACTTATTCTTGAGAGTTGCATGTGTATAACAGGGATTATGCAAGCAACCACAAAACACCACTGATTTTGCTCGCTCGTGGGGTCTCATTTTCCTTGTTGTTGTTTTCAACACTCAGTCTAGCTCACAGAGACCCAGAAGATGAGAAGCAGGCCTTGGACATGGTTACCACTTCAAACTGGAGAAAGGTCTCTTTGTTTATTGTCACGACAATGATCAAAAAGTTGCCTATGAGACCTGGACAAGACACTGCTTATCTCAGATTGCTATAACATAAAGACATGGTAGTGGAAATCAGGCAGCCTGGACAAAATTTGAATGTATATATGAGTATTTTTAAGGTTATTTGTGTGTCTGTGGCAACAGTAATTCTGCCTTATGGTTCTGTAATGGTTTTTGTTTGGTTGGTTGGTTGGGCTTTTTTGAGATGGGGTTTCACTCTTGTTGCCTAGGCTAGAGTGCAGTGACGCAATCTCAGCTTACTGCACCCTCCGCCTCCCGGGTTCAAGAAATTCTCCTGCCTCAGCCTCGCAAGTAGCTGGGATTACAGGCCCCTGCCACTATGCCCAGCTAATTTTGGTATTCCTAGTAGAGACCATGATGGTCAGGCTGGTCTTGCACTCCTGACCTCAGGTGATCCGCCCTCCTCGGCCTCCCAAAGTGCTGGGATTACAGGCGTGAGCCACCGCACCTGGACTGTATGTTTGTTTTTAATGATGGGGTTCTTGCTCTGTCACCCACGCTGGATTGCAGTGACATGACTACAGCTCTTCACAGCCTCAAATTGTGGGGATCAAGCTATCCTCCCACCTCAACTTTCTGAGTAGCTGGGGCTACAGGTGTGCCTGAAATGTTTCTTTACTTTTTGTTTGCATTAGAAATATTTCCCCCTTCATTCCATTTTCCATATCTCTTAATTTTCTAAAATACAGGTGTTTTCTAAAACCAGGTCTAAACCCCACCTACAGCTAAAATCCTCCAATAACTTCCCATTACTTTGGTGATAAAATCAAAAATCATTAGCAGAATTGAGAAATCCTTCCTGATCTGACTCTTAACTTCTCTCTCTCAAGTGGCATGAAAGTATCATTCGGATTCTGAATTCCATGACACCAGGTATCAAGTTTCCTACCAGTCAGACTCAGTACTTATTTACAGACCATATTTACAGAGGGAGATAACATGGAGAGGTTCTTGCTCCATTCTTGCCATAACACCATGTCTTCAACTTCACAACTGGATATATAGTTCCTATCCCTCTAATTCCCTTCTCCTCTCCAGCCCTTTTTCACTTGATCAACACCTAGCTGATTCTAGCCTCAGCAAAGGCCTCACCTGTTGTATGTAGGAGGCCAGCTCTGCCCTTTCCAGAATGGGTTAAGTATGCTCTCTTGTGTGTCCATATCTTCTTGTGCTTTCCTATATCCAGATCTCCAACAGCCCCTGTTGTAACCATCCTTGTCGTCACCATCTCACAGCTCTTACCACTGTGAGTTCCTTGGGGCCAGTGACTGTGTTTTTCTTTCTGTATTATTAAGGTGAATATACAAGGCATGAATTTAATATTAGCTAGTTCATTTGATCCTGCCGAACTTCTATAATTAAGGAAGCAGAAAAGGTCCCATAGCCTCATTCAGTAGGTGACTGAGGTTTTGAGAGTTTAGTATCCTGTCCAAGGTCTTACAGCTAGTTAGAAACAGAAACTAAATTCTCAACTTGAGTCCTGTATTCTTTCTAGTATTATCTCTCTCAATCCCTCCCTGCCTCCCTCTCTCTCTCTCACGCACATACACACACACACACACACACACACACACACACGCTTACGTGTTTCTACCATCGTGAATGAATTCTAGGTCACGTTTATGATATTAACCAGATATTCCAACCACTATGTGTTGATATGACTCTAAAAAGAAAAAGATTTCTGAAAGCATTTTGCAAGGCATTTATAGAAGTAAGAGATATGTTTTCATTTTATCACCACAACCTCCCTGAAAAATTGGAGACTATTATTCCTGGAGACTTCAGAATTTTCTTTGGAAATATCCTCCAATTCAAAAGGAAGTCTGACACAGCCTCATAAAAATCTATGTCGTAATAGGTGCTGTGTCACTGAAAACCACTGAAAAGACAGGGTAGGGTTAAGAACACAAAGTGAGCTGCACACCATATATGGAGAAACCCGTTTCTTAAAACTAGTGATGAACTCATGCTCTGTTCTGTTTTCTCAAAGCTGAAGTCGGCTAGCTTTGCAAAGCTGCGGGCTGAGCACTCAGGGAGGCAATCACTCTCTCAGAAACTGCTGCGGCACTGCACTGCAGCCTCCCAAGGCTCCATGCCAGACAAAGCATGCGTGTCACACTTGCTACAATAGCCTGCGTGGTTTCTTTTGTCTCCAGTTATTCACACACAGCAAATATTTTGCCAGATATTGAAAATGAAGATTTCATCAAAGACTGCGTTCGAATCCATAACAAGTTCCGATCAGAGGTGAAACCAACAGCCAGTGATATGCTATACATGGTAAGGAAAATATCATTAATTGTGGCGTCAGTTCAGTCAGAAACAGCTAATGTGTATTGACTTTGGTGTTAATGCCTTCGTAATCCTGAATGATTTTTTTTCAGTGTGATTAATGTATGCAGTAAATTCACAATCTGTGATCGAAACACATCCAGTTTAGCTCTGTCTGCTCAACCGTTGTCGTAAGCAAGTGCCACAGCCCATTTTACTTCTCTTTTTGAACATTTCCTGTTTTCTGATTTTCAGTGGATTTTACTTCTCTTTTTGTTATTTTCTTCCATGTTAATTTTTGTGATTTTCTTTGTTTTTGTTTTTTTGCCTCTAAATTTACTTTTTTTGTTGCTGACAAAGTACTGAGTTGCTCAGGAAGGCAGAATGGCATCTGGGGAAAGGATGGGATTTTGGTTCAGTAAGGCTTGGGATTGAATTTCAGATCTGTGGCTTTAAGCTGGTTTTTAACCTTTCTGAACTTCTTAGGATATGGGCTATTGTGGTTATGGAATAATGTTGTGAAACACGGCACACACTATTTTGCCTATAATTAGCCTTCAGTGAAATGTCAGTTTTCCTCACCTAGATTCTAAATTCCATGAAACTAAATCATCACGTTTCCTACCAACCCTACTCAGTGCTTGAAGACCATAATTATAGAGGACTCAAATGCAGTGGTATTTTCTCTCCTTATCTCACCTTGTTTTCCATTAAAATTCCCACTGTACTCACCCCGGTTACATTGTAGATGAGCCCCCTATTATTTAAAATTTGACCCCCCTATTGTTTAATGTTTATTTTTGCAGACTTGGGACCCAGCACTAGCCCAAATTGCAAAAGCATGGGCCAGAAATTGCCAGTTTTCACATAATACACGGCTGAAGCCACCCTACAAGCTGCATCCAAACTTCACTTCACTGGGAGAAAACATCTGGACTGGGTCTGTGTCAATCTTTTCTGTGTCTTCCGCCATCACAAACTGGTATGACGAAATCCAGGACTACGACTTCAAGAATCGGATATGCAAAAAAGTCTGTGGCCACTACACTCAGGTAAGTATCTGCCCTATATTTTCTTGAAACTGTCTTTTCAAGTGTGAGGAGAAAACTGTACTATGAGGTTAAGAAAATATATAGTATGCTAGTCTACCTGTAAATACAAGGGAGTTACAGACTTACTTTAAAAATAATAAATAGAACAGACTCCAATAACAGAGAAAATAGTGCTTGAAAAGTTTAGTTGTGGGAACTAAACACATAATAGGTTGTGGGCCCACCCACCTGGATGGACTTTGAACAATTCCTGTAACAGCGATTCTCCCATAGGACTTTATTCCATTTGTGAGAAGTCAAAGAACCTTATGAGTGAAAGGATATTCAGGTTCCAGCTGGCATAAGTTTTAAGTGAAATTTGAGGCAGTTGTTTTGGGACTATAAAATTGGAAGAAACAAGCCTCTCAGACAGAAACATCAGTAAGAACTGATGCTTCCACAACCTCTCATTCTCTCAAACATCGACTGAAAACCTACTGTGTGCCATGCACTATGCACCACACACGGTGCTACACAAGGAGGGAGAAAAAGTCAGTCCCAGGCCAACAGAGAGGCCAACGTGTAAACTTATATGAACCATTCTGAGGGAATTCTGCCCCCAGAATCCACATTATTAGTCCCAATAGCCACATTCAGAGCCACCCATTGAGGTTTTTTGTGTTTTGTTTTTTGTTTTTTTATTTTTACTCGAGCTGATTCTGGCTCCCTAACCCTACTTCACATTTGCAGCGTGATGGAAACAACTCCCTAGGGAGCATCTGTCGTAATCGTCTTCAGACACGGCCTTCCTCTCCTGGCCACATTTTGTTTATTTAGTGTCACTTCCTGGCCATCCTTGTCAAACCAATAACTTACGGTACTTAACCTATAATTGACTGTTTTGGGGCACAAAAAATCAGTTGAAATGAGGTATGAAGGCAAAAACGTTTCTATCAAGGAAGTTACATTGAAATATTAGGTGGTTTTAAGGAGCAACATGCTGTTAGAAAAACTCTCTCGCTCCAGCTCAGCCCTACAAAGCCTGTGATCTCATTCGTGCTGTTACAGATGAACCAAGTTTGGTGCAGTTACAAAAATTTAGTATTATAAGAGTAAAATGAATTTCTCCTAAATTTCTCTCATAAACCAATTTTGGTTTACGTTTACAAACAAATTTAACCAGGAAATAAGTTTCCTTGGATTACAAGACCTAAGGGAGAAGAAAGCTAAATCTAGATTGCCTACAAGTGGTACTTGGTACTGTTATGCATTGCAGTATTTAAATACTCAGAAATAATTGTCAGTTTGAGGGTGCCTACTTTCATTTATTTATTAGTCAGTGTTTAAGCTTCTATCCTATAACAGGCACTAGTGATATGTCTTAGTCCAGATTCTTGGAAAACAGACCCTGAGACAATAGTTTATGAGCTAACATTTTATTGGGGTACAATCTTGGAGACGTGGAAGTCAGGAGAAATAGGGAATGAGCCAGGGAAGGAGGACAAATACAGCTGGAAATGGTCCCTGACCCTCAGGAATTGACCTTTTGGGAGAGACTGATGTGTAAATGGATTATGACAGTGTTTGGCTAGTACAATCTAGAGAAGCTGACAAAGTGCCATGTGAGCAAGGAGGACAGCAACTTATCCAGCCAAAAGGAAGTGTAAAGCTTCACACAGCAGGAGACATGTGAATTGGTACTTGAAAACTGAGTGGGAGTTTTTCAGATGAAAAGGAAAGGGAAGAGAATTCTCAGCAAGGTGTGGAAAGTATACATATGTGTATGAATGGGCCTGGTACTTTAGATCAACGGCAAGAAGCTCAGCATGCCAAATACATAGAGGTCAAAAGACTGTAAAATTGACAACAGACTCCTAAACCACGCTCAATACACAAGTTAAGACACTCCGTGTTCACCATTCCAGGAAATCGAAAGAAGAGAAAACTTGAGTTTATGTCATAAATGCCCGAGATTTCACAGATGACCCTCCCAAAATTAACTGAACTTACTTGTGAAATTTCCCCTTACATCTAAGGGAAAAAAGGAGGGCTAATATTTTGGTCATGAGAAGATTCATTTTCTAAAACCCAGTCCCATACTTACAGATATTAAAACCCAAGCTCAGTGATCCTAACATAAGTGATCCTCTTTAAGAGACCACTACATTCTACCCCCACTTCAGAAGAGGGACACTTATCATGGGGAGAATGTCCAAGAACCCCCTGGACTGGGAAGATAGAGCAGCAGCAACCGCTTTTTAAATGGGCATAGTGTTTAGCTCTCTACATTGAAGACCTCATTTAATTATTACCACAAATCTATTAAGGAGATGTTAATGGTATTACCCACAGGTGAATAAACAGACTTAGAGAGGTTAATAAGTTGTTCCCCTGATGTCATTTAGCTAGTAAGAGGAAGAGTTGAGGTTCAGATATTAGATAAGTTGGAAGGCTTAAATAATAAAATATGTGCAAGTTATCTAATAAAATACTAGTATTTAGTAGGCATTGAACAAAGGGTAGATCCCTTACATGAACTGGTTTTCCAGCAATTATAATGGAAGAAGGATCCGATAGTTAGGTGAAAGACTATCTCTTTTCATCATGGCAAGAATTCTTCCTGGGGGACTCAAAACTACTCAATTGCTGTGTTAAATTCATGCTGGACAGTTACTTTACGTGGATATTACAACCTCCTACTTATCCTCATCTTCTCTTCAAAAATCAAGCTATTTGCAGATTTTGGCTGATGATGGGAGGTTGTACAGAATAAAGAACATAGATTCAGACCCATTATCTCCTCACAAAATGTATGATATTTCTTGATGTGTTCATTCAACACTTCAGCTTTATCTTCACTGGAGATAGACTGACATTGAGGAAAAATGTTGGTGTATAAAATGGAAGATGATTCAAATTCGACATTCTGTTGCTGACAGTTCAACTTTAAAAAGTTTAGAAATAGTTTAAGTATCTGGGCAGGGTAGCAGATTGCTTGGGTTTGATAGTGCCAGGATTTCCCACTAGATGGCACTACTGATCTTATTTTAGTTTTTCTCTTCTTGCCTCCTCCTACCCTCTTGATATCTATTTTTATATTCTCATAGAACCATGGAAATGTGACATGTTTCATAATTTCTGTAGTAGGTTTCATATATGTTACAGTGTTGCCATACTCCTGATAATGAACCAGAAGAGCTCATATCAAGAACTGAAAGGGAAAGATGCTGGAAAGGGATTGTGGGCCTATAAGGGAGACATCTTCCTCCCCTCCGGGTTCCCCAGGTGTAGTATTTTTGTAAGAAAGGTTTAAAGAGTGGTTCCTGGTTCTGAAGAGCTTGCTAAAAGAGAAACCACTCTAAAAGCATCTTGCTGAGGGCATAGACTGTCCTCACATTATTTCATGGCCAGGCAGAATTAGGTTCCAATCTTTTACCTACAAAAGTAAGAGCAATAACACTTTTATTTATTGAGTTGTTATAAGGATTAAACATGATGTCACATGTAAAATGCTTAATGGTACACCTAAGTTCTCAAAAATGAGTAGCTCTTATAATTACGGTTTTTTTTTTTTTGGTTTTTTTTTTTTTTTTTTTTTTGCTTACTATAGTAAGAAAACATACAACAGAAACCTGCCTGATTAAAAAAAAAAATTAAAGTGTTAAGAATTTTTAAGCATAAGAAACTTAGTGGTAAGGGAATGACACAAAAACATTTGCTGAGTGCTTGCTATGTTCCAGAAGCTCATTAAAAACTTCAAAATAGGCCTATGGAGTTGGTATTGTTATTATCCTCATTTAATAGATAAGGAATCTAAGACCAAGGTCACACTGTAAGTGGCAAAGCTTGAATATGAACTCAAGCCTTGTGGCTCCAAAGCCCACAAGTTTAACCAAAAACCAGAGTGCCCATGAAGCTTTTAAAAAGAGACCAACTTGGAAAGATAGATAGATAGATAGACTGTGCTACATCCATGTAATAAATATTACTCAGCAATAAAAAGCAGTGACTACAAATGAATACAGCAAATGCTTATATTAAGTGAAAGAAGCCAGATTCAAAAAGCTGTATTTAGACTGATTCCATTCGTATAACATTCTGGAAAAGGCAAAACTACAGAAACAGATTAATGATTGCTGGGGTCTGGGAGTGGGGGTTGACCACAAACGGGGCTCAAGGGAACTTTCTGGGGCAATAAAAATATTCTATGTCTTGCATGTGGTAGTGGCTACACAACTGTATTCTTTTGTCAAAATTCATAGAAATGTACACCTAAAAATCATAAATGTTATTGTATGTTTATTATACCCTAATAAACCTCACTTTAAAAAAAGAGGCCAACTAAAACACACAAAATGAGTGGTAACTAACATTCGCACACTTATGAGGAAAAAGTATTTAAATGGGGAAGGGATCCAAAGATTAAGAATACTTTTGATATAACAATGCTACTAAAAAAAGTGCTCAAAGACCAAAGGATAAAAATATAAAATAAGCCAAGGTGATAGTAAAGGAATAAAGACAACACTGAACACAGCACGCATAGGAATCACCTCAGGAACTTGTTAAAATGCAGACTCCAAAAGCAACTCCAGTGACTGGCATTCAGTAGGTCTCAGAGGGGCCCAAGATCATTTTAAACAAAGCACCCTAGGTAAAATCACTTTGAGATATATGAATAAAATTAAGAAATTTGAAAAATAAAACAAAACTGATTAGAAAGTAGAAGTTTAAGGATCAAACCTGAGGATTAACAGTCCTCATAAAGCTGGGCTTTCTCAGTGAGACAGAGGCCTTAAGCTGATTCATTGCCTGTTCAGGCTGGAGTTTCCTGCAGGGGGTTCCTGGGGATAAAGAAATGTTTCTAGGGAACACCCCTTTTAGATCATGGAGTAGGGAAGTACACTTTCCCTTGCCAAAGGAGGGTACCCTCTCCAGTTGCCAAACCAAGGAGAAGGCAGCCCACACTCTGCCCACTATCTCCCTAGTCATGTCCCTACCTCTGCCACACCTTTAAATCTTGGAGAAGTTGAGACTCCAACCTCAGCTCCCCTCTTGCCCTACTTCCTACTCTCCCTCCAGGCCTTAGGGGAAAGGGGTCGGGATTCAAACCGCAAGAGAGGGTTCTTGAATCTCAGGCAAGAAAATTCAGAGTGAGTCCGTAAAGTGAAGGCAAGTTTATTAAAAAAGTAAAGGAATAAAAGAATGGCTACTCTATAGACAGAGCAGCCCTGAGGGCTGCTGGTTGCCCATTTTTATGGTTATTTCTTGATCCTATGCTAAACAAGGGGCAGATTATTCATGCCCTCCCTTTTTAGACCACAGGGTAACTTCCCGATGTTGCCACGGCATTTGTAAACTGTCATGGTGGGAGTGTAGCAGCGAGGACACCAGAGGTCTCTCATCGCCCTCTTGGTTTCCGTAGGTTTTAGCTGGCTTCCTTACTGCAACCTGTTTTATCAGCAAGGTCTTTGATCTGTATCTTGTGCTGACTTCCTATCTCCCCTGTGACTTAGAATGCCTAATCATCTGGGAACGCAGCCCTGTAGGTCTCAGCCTCATTTTACCCAGCCCCTATTCAAGACAGAGTTGTTAGGGCCGGGCGTGGTGGCTCATGCCTGTAATCCCAGCATTTTGGGAGGCCGAGACGGGCAGATCACCTGAGGTCAGGAGTTTGAGACCAGCCTGACCAACATGGTGAAACCCCATCTCTGCTAAAAAAGCAAAATTAGCCAGGCATGGTGGCACATGCCTGTAATCCCAGCTACTTGGGAGCCTGAGGCAGGAGAATCGCTTGGACCTGGGAGGCGGAGGTTGTGGTGAGCCGAGATCGCACCATCGCACTCCAGCGTGGGCAACAAGGGCAAAACTCTGTCTCAAAACAAAAAACAAAAAACAAAAAAACACCACCACCACCACCAAGATGGAGTTCCTCTAATTCCAACACCTGACACAGGGAGCGAATTTCATTTATTTTTAAAGTAAAGTCTTCGTTTTCTGTAGCCACGCTGGCTTTGCTTTCAGTTTTGTCAATGGGTCAGCCCCACCCTAGGTTCACACAGGATGCTGCCCTCTGCTGGAGGACTCCAGACCAGCTCATCCCAGCTCTAGCTCCACCTCATTTCTTCAGAGACAGGCACCGTGCCATATATGCCCTTAGCATCTTTCACTTCCTATTCACAGTGGTCAAACCCTCCCCTGATGAATTTCATGACTGCTTTTTTCCTAAGTTTTGTGAATGTACCCACTGGTTCTAGCTCATTCATTTTTGTGTCTGCTGTATTTAGCACAGGTCTTACGAAAAAATTGCTCAAAAACTTGAGTATAAAATAGTTTAAAATATAATTTGGTACTGCTGTAAAAAGGAGTGCATTTAATTGCTGGCTGTATCCACCTTTAAATACTTTCTTCTTTAGGCTTTTGTGACACCAAACACTCTTGGTCAAGATGGGCTTTATAATTTGATTTGTGGAGCCCATTGCAAAATGAAAATGTGGAATCTTTTGTTCAGAAAGCAAGGGGAAAGCACCACTAAAGGTGCTAAAATATGTGACAGCACTGACCTAAACCAAGCATGGAGCTCTTTTGAGTACTGGATCCCAGGTAACAGCACAGGTCTCTCTGTTCTTGGTTTCCCTCCTACATCACTGACCACTCCTTTTCAGTCTGTTTTGCAGGCTGGTTTTGTGTTTGCTTTCATTATCCCAGACTCTCATTTACTTGATCTATTATATTTGCCTGTGTGATCTAATCTTGCCCCATGTTTTCCAGATTTACATCTCTAGCCTTACCCTGTCCTCTGGACTGCAGCCACCAAGTCAATCTTCACTTGATGTCTATTAGGCATCTCAAAATCAGCAAGTTCTGAACAAAACCCCTGCTCATGCTCCCACCTACCCTCCTCCTTCCCTAGTTTTCTCCATCTCAGTAAATGTTTCTCAGGCCTCAAACCAAAACTTTCTCTCTTCTCCTTTTACCCTACACTCAAAACAAAAGCAAATCCTTTTAGCTTTACCTCTAAGCTGAGCCATGAACCTGATTCATTCTCGGGAACTCCACTGGCATCACCCATGTGTGAGTCACTATCTTTTCATTCTTGTACCATTGAAACAGCTTCCAAAATTACCTCCTTCCTGTTTCCCTTGCTCTTCTCAGTCTGTTCACTTCGTAACCACCAAAGTGATCTAAAACACGAAAAAGAACATAGCACTCACAGGAATCTCCGCGATCGGTTTCTCTGCCTTTGACCTCACTGCTTACAACTCTCCCCAACTCATCAGATCTTGGCTTCACTTGTTTTCTTCGTGCCATTCTATAATGCCAAGCAAATTCCATCTCAGGGCCTTTCTCCCTGGTGTTCCATCTGCTTGGAATGCTCCTCCTCCATTGTTTAAGTTTCCCGAATGTGTGTCCTGAGTGCTGCATCCTCATCATCCAAGTCTCAGTTCAAATACATCCTCTTCGGGGATGTCTTCCCTGAACAACCAAGTTAAATCAGCACCACCTCACCAGCAGTCACTCTCTATTGCATTACGCTGTTTTATTTCTTCATTGTACAGTCAAAAATTATCTTATCGTTTATTTCATACACTCCCTCCCCCGAATAATAGTAACTACAGGTCTATCCAGCTGATTTCTGAGCATCTAAACCTTCCTGGGTTTTAAGCACTCTAACTAGAGTGGATATACCTCACCATCACCACGTTTATGAAGACCTAGTCATACCCAGTGTTTATCTTATGGTTTCTCTCTGTTAAAAATCCCTATTTCCTTTCAGGTTGTTTGGGCGGATAGTTACAAAGTTGGCTGCGCAGTTCAATTTTGCTCTAAAGTTTCTGGCTTTGATGCTCTTTCCAATGGAGCACATTTTATATGCAACTACGGACCAGGGTAAGTGCCTGAATCAATCGGTTTATAGTAGACGCCCCCCCCAAAAAAACAAGAAAAAAATTATTTTAGCAGTATTCCTCTTCATTATAGAAAATCTGGATAATAAAGTATAAAGAAAAAATTAACATAACCCTTAATTCCGCTGCCCAGAGATATACTTCATTAACATTCTGGTACATTTTTCCTGGAGAGAGAGAGAGAGAGAGAGAGTGTGTGTGTGTGTGTGTGTGTGTGTGTACATCCTTTATATATACTATCTAAATACATATGCACATATTTTTAAGAGTGGTAAGACTAAAATGTTTGTCAGGGACATAAATTGCATATGGTAATAAAATACCACAAAGTGGAAGAACTAATGTTATATTTATTGGTTTATTAAAAACTTGGCAATTTTATACAATTTTCAAAACAACTAAATTCCTCAACCTATTTCGTTTACTTTTGACAGTTGTTTTTATTTTTAACTTTTTTTATTTTTTATTATTTTATTATTATACTTTAAGTTCTAGGGTACATGTGCATAACGTGCAGGTTTGTTACATATGTATACTTGTGCCATGTTGGTGTGCTGCACCCATCAACTCGTCATTTACATCAGGTATAACTCCCAGTGCAATCCCTTCCCACTCCCCTCTCCCCATAATAGGCCCCGGTGTGTGATGTTCCCCTTCCCGAGTCCAAGTGATCTCATTGTTCAGTTCCCACCTATGAGTGAGAACATGCAGTATTTGGTTTTCTGTTCTTGCGATAATTTGCTGAGAATGACGGTTTCCAGCTGCATCCATGTCCCTACAAAGGACACAAACTCATCCTTTTTTATGACTGCATAGTATTCCATGGTGTATATGTGCCACATTTTCTTAATCCAGTCTGTCACTGATGGACATTTGGGTTGATTCCAAGTCTTTGCTATTGTGAATAGTGCCGCAATAAACATACGTGTGCATGTGTCTTTATAGCAGCATGATTTATAATCCTTTGGGTATATCCCCAGTAATGGGATGGCTGGGTCATATGGTACTTCTAGTTCTAGATCCTTGAGGAATCGCCATACTGTTTTCCAGAATGGTTGAACTAGTTTACAATCCTTGACAGTTGTTTTTAAAACAGATACTTAGTTCCCACTTTGGGAAACAGGGAAAACACCTTCCTCCTGCTTTCTTTAAACTTACATATGTGTGCTTGCGTCATACACATATTTAGAAAACTGATCATACTGAAAATATACATTTTCTATTTTTCACTTAAAATTATGCTGTGAAAATTTTCCCCTTATCAAAATTTTAAGTGATTTTAATCATAAAAATGATAGATTGTTTATATAATGCTTACAATGCTCTCAGCACTGTTAAAGTGCTTCACATATATTCATCTTCACTAAAAGTTTATGAGATGGGTCCTATTATTACCCATTTGGCAAATGAGAACGGCAAGGCACACACGTGATGAGCAACCTACCCAAAGTCCTACAGTTAGTGACTATCACTGATGGACATTGATCTGGCTGTCTGGCTCCAGAGTCCATGCTCTTGATGGTACCAAAACAGTTTATCCTGTTTGAAGAATTTAGATTGTTCACTATATTTTCTTTTAATATATGAACAACCTTGTACATTTATCTTCAGTCACTTCTATTTCTCTATAATTCCTTAAGATACTAGCATGTAAAGACTGTGACCATTTTTGTTTTATTTTTAAGTACGTGTTGCCAAATTACATTCCACCATTCTATCAATTCGTATTCCATCATCAGTACTAGGTATTATAATTTTTTAGTATTTTCTAATTTGATGGAAATGGCATTTCATTTGTTTTCTTTTGCATCTCTGTGATTACTAGTAATTATAAATTTCTTCACATAATTGTCTATTTATATTCCTTTTACTGTGAACCATGTGGGCTGACCATTTTTCTACTAGTTTTTCTTATTTATAAAAGTTGTTTATATTTTTAAGTTTTTTTAACCATTTGCAATATATATAAAATGATCTTTAATTTGTTGCCTTTGAATTTTTTTGATTCCTGGAGATTGGCTGAAAGAAAGCCATTTCCCTGAAGTAATGTGCAGAAGACATACTCAATATTCTGACTGAGTGCTGTAGGTATGAAGGAGGAGACAAACCAAGCGTCATTCAGAAGATGACAGCTTTGACCGAGCATCTCAGAGTTGGAAAATAAAGAAAACCCAGAAAAAACTAGACAATGCCAGTTAGACAAATTCAATTAGTGGTAACTTTTCATATGACTTTTTTTTTTTTTTTTTGAGACCAGGGTCTCTCGCTCTGTCACCCAGGCTGTAGTACAGTGGCTCGCTAATGGTTCACTGCAGCCTTAACCTCCCAGGCTCAAGCAAGCCTCCCAACTCAGCCTTGCTAGTACCTGAGACTACAGGTACATGCCACCATGCCCAGCTAATTTTTTGTAGAGACAGAGTTTTGCCATATTGCCCAGGCTGGTCTCCAACTCCTGGGCTCAAGTGATTCACCTGCCTCAGCCTCCCAGAGTGGTGGGATTATATGCATGAGCCACCACACCTGGCCTCATATGACATTTTTAATGGTTAAGATACAGTTAATTTACTGTGTGACCCTGAACAAATTAACTCTGAATCTCATTTTAATCTCCAGTAGATCAGAATAACAGCACCTGCCACTTAAGAGTAGCTGTGAAAGTGACAAGAGAAGGCTTTGTAAAATATCAGGTATATATAATGCTTGGCAATGGTGAATGTTTTATAAGTATTCATGATTTTTATTATGTCAAAGTACAAATGTAAATTTTCTTGGTTCTTGGTTTACACTCACTTATCTTCAAAGTTATAAACAATATTAAATTGTAAAACTTATAACCAAAGTTATAATGCTTCCATAAAGACTAACTTCAAATATTCATTTATTCAACAAATATTTGTTTACTGAGCTCCAAAGGAGAATAAGGCAGTCTCTGCCTTTACGAGAGTAATATTTATGGGGCAAACAGATAATAAAAATACAAATAAAATAACTGCATCATTTTACGGGCAATTAGGGGCAATTATAAATAATACCGTAATAGAAACTTTCAATAGGCAAGGCCCCTATTTAAAATAATCAGGGAAGGGCTTCCTGTGATATATTTAAGCTTAGGCATGAAGAATGAGAAGGAATCAGACATAAGAACTTCTGGAACAGCTGTCTAGTGGAGAAAAGAACAGCAAAACTCCCGTGAAGAAAAGTTTGGCAAGCTTAAATCACAGAAACCGGTGCCCTCGGTCTGCTAAACAGATGAAACGTGGGGGAGGAAGGCAGTGCAAATCTAGCGGCAACTTTTAGATCACGGCAAAGTTTACATAAGAAGCCATTCAAGTATATTAAGCAGGGGAGGGATGAGACTTTTAAATTTGGAGATCAGTCTGGATGGAAAATAGATTAGAGGAGCATAAAAGGTAAAACAGAGACCAGTTAGGAATGTCCTCATTTCCCTTCGCCCTCTGAGGTATTATTTTCCTATATACAAAGAAAAAGTTGTAGGCCCCAATTCCACATAATCTTAGGAAGTCCAGTATCCTCCTCAGTATTTCCGAGGATACGTCAGAATGGGGGCTGGGATGCTTCATCTTCCGGCTGCCTGTAACACTCTCCTCTTCATTTCCCGTGGGCACCATGAACAAGGGTATGGTGTATAACGGTTCTTTACTCAGAGTGGATTAGTGGAGGAGAGGATTATAGCACAGAAGAGGACATAACTTTGACCACAAGATAGTGAAGACAGTACCAGTGTGCTTATTAGGCCATCACTGCCTTAGGGACCCTTACCCATATTTATCTTTTTCTTTAAAGATCCGTCTTCTGTCTTCCCCTGGGTCCCAGAACCCCAACCCTCTTCTCTCTCAGGCTGCCAGGGAAAACACTGAAATATCCTGTTGCTTTATTGTGCTGAATACTTTAGGTCCCACAGTCTTAATGACTCCCATCTTGACAAATCCAGGCCTTTCTAGTAACATGTTTCTCCCGAGGTGGATACTACCATTTCCATAGACCGCACCAACTGTCTTGGTTTTTAGCTTATTTTTAAGTAGGATTTTTTACCTTTTCCTTTACAGTTTGGAATGCACAACTAAGGATCATAAATGATTTTATTAAAACCATTCTAGAGCTTAAACCACTTAATAAATGCTGTGCTTATTAACAATGAAAGACATTCCAATGATTAATATCTATTCTGGACATCTTTTGAAATTGCTATCAGAATTGCTACTATATTACCTTTTTTCCATGGTGGAGAGTAAGCACAGGGCAAATTTAATTTCTGAAGCAACTTAAAATTTGGAGCAAAATAAGAACATATATTTGGGGTTGGAAATGAGGTGTCGTTATAAAGTTGTGTGTCTAAGGTGAGAGTTCTCAACTTTGGAGGTAATTGTAGAGTATTGGGGAGAGGAGGGTCATAAACTTCGATTAGAAAAAAATTGTTTTATTTTTATTTTCACTAACCTCTATTAAAAATAACATTTCCTTTCATTATGAATGAAGACAACACTCCACCGTCATATTAGCAATCAATGTGATTTGACTTAGCAGTATCATCTTTGTGAATATCGTATTTTCATACCATATTTCAGTTGCTGCAGAGATCTCAAAATACAGTTTATGTTCATCACTACTTTGAAACTGATAGCCCCCTGGTAGATCTTAATAGAGAAGCACATATTACTTTATCACAAATCTTGTTTTAAATATTTTGATAACTACTTCAATTTAATTGGTTTCCTTTATAATCCTATGTATTTTATGCATTTAACAACAAACTATGTTGAGAAAGAGCCCATAGGCTTCACCAGACTGCCAAAGGGTACGATTACACAAAAAAGTTGAGAACTTTTTCCAAAAGCAGAGTTCCAAAAAAATTTAGTGCATTGGCAGGTTCATTGAGATAAATGTGCAGCCTCTCACCATTACTACTATGAGGATATTTATGGGGATATAAAATGCTTGGATATTATTTCCCTTTCTAGTCTGTGACCTTGGTCAATTATTTACACTCTGTAACTCAGCCTCTAGCTATATAATGGGGATAAATAGATAACAGTAACTTCCTCATAGGTTTTTGTGAAGATTATTTCATTCAAGGTTGTTTAGAACAAAGACAAATACGTGGTGAGTGCTCACTAATTAGTAGCTATTATTCATATCACATCTTGTACGTGAAAACAATTTGCACTTTAGAAATTCCCCCATACCATTATTTATTATTATTTTTTTTGGAAGGCACCAGCTAAATGGCTCCTATCCAGTGAAAATTATGGAGGGTTGACCAACTGAGAAGATTGAATGTGGGTCACCATAGCTTTTCTAAGATGGACAGTTTTTTGAATGGCAGTAATCATATAGGCCAGAGGGTAGGTAAAGAGAGGGAGCACAGCCCTGGAGTTAAATCTAGGTTTCCTCTGACTCTGAAATGTATAAATTGTGATTAAAGGCATCTTACATCTTTTGTCTCGTCTGTAAAACAAACAATAACTTCCTCCCAGAGCTGTCACAATTAAATGGGGTACAGATTAAAACAGGTTCATAGACATAGGTACATAGAATGAACTCTGCAAATATTAGCAGCCTTCCATTTCTGCCTTCCTGTCTTCACTTCTATGACCAACTCTGAACCTTTGTACTTTACTGTTCTTCTGGATTTATTTAAAGATTCATAGTAAATTCCAATTTTAAAAACACTGAAAAACTCCTAATGGACATCCTTCTTCTACTTTACAGAGGCAATTACCCAACTTGGCCATATAAGAGAGGAGCCACCTGCGGTGCCTGCCCCAATAATGACAAGTGTTTGGACAATCTCTGTGGTGAGTAAAAGGAACAGTCTACCAATAGAATAATGTAACAGTAACATGTAACTTTCTACAGAATTAACAGTGAAACCATGTTTTATCCTAACGGTTATCTTCAAGGAGACTGGCATCAAGTAGCAATTAAACCAATGGCTTACTGTTCTAGGAATACGTTTAAGATAAATTTAAATGTGAAAATCACATTCTTTTTATTTAGTTCTCATTGGTAAAAAAAAAAAAAAAAAAACTGTCAGAAACTGTAGACCAAGATTCCTAAGATTTGTTAATTTCAGCGAGATCAGAAATAAGTATAACAGGTCATCCAAACAAATAGAATTTTCTTTTTTTTTTTTTTTTTTTTTGAGACGGAGTCTTGCTGTATCACCCAGGCTGGAGTGCAATGGTGCAATCTCAGCTCACTGCAACCTCCATCTCACGGGTTCAGGCAATCCTCCTGCCTCAGCCTCCCAAGTAGTGGGGATTACCACGCCACCGTGCCCAGCCTGGCCAACATGGTAAAACCCCCCTCTACTAAAAATACAAAAACTAGCTGGGTGTGGTGGTGGGCCCCTGTAATCCCAGCTACTCAGGAGGCTGAGGCAGGAGAATCACTTGAGCCCGGGAGGTGGAGGTTGCAGCGAGCAGAGATCGTGCCACTGCACTCCAGCCTGGGTGACACAGTGAGGGTCTATCTCCAAAAAATGAAAATAAAGCTGCAACATGGCACTTTTTATTAGCCAGACAGCATTTAATGAAGAAGTGTAGAACCTGCATGCAGGTAAATTTTCAAGGATGTTTTACTAAACATCCAAGCAAAATTTTACTTTGTGATTTTGAAATATTAGTAATTGGCCAAGAATTTATCTCTGGTTCTTGTTCTAGATACAAGCCCTTCCATCCCAGTATGTTTTTATTTTTACCACGGTGTGAAGGGGAAACTTCTATTAAGCTGTGCAAATCCTGTGGTACTTTTGTGTCCATATTTGTAACAAACTGAACTCAGAGCAGCCAGGCTAGAGTAGGGTGCTTAGAATAGAGGAAGGACAGAATGGGCCAAGTTTCACTGCATGACATTTAGTTTGGAAAAAAGTGTTCCATTGCTCACATGTTTTCTAAGGTCCCTTCCAGGCCTAAAATTATAAAATTTTACCTATTAAACTGCTTGTTCTCCTCCTTCCCATTTAATGTTGAATACTTATCTTTACACACAATAGTACTTTTGCAAAGTTTTCTGAGCCATTTTTCTCCCAGTCCATTCTTTATTTCACTCCTATCACTCTTGTGAAGAAAACTCAGTTAACATGTAGCCACAATGCAGCTAATATCAAGGTATCAACATATATTCACTGAATTCTTCCTTTCACATTGCTGTAGCCCTTCAAAACATATATATATTTCTTCCTTCCAAGTTAACCATTATACATAAGGGCTAAAACTTTGGATTTTAGAACCAGTATGCCAAGTTTCGGTGCAATTTCCAGTTCGACCACTGTGACTTTGGGCAAGTTTCTGCTTCTATTTTTTCAATGAAACAATCTAATGAAAAAAATAAGTTTCCCTTTAAAAATCTAGGCAATTAGTAACACTACCATCACCACAATGACAAAAACACTTCTGGTTTTAGCTTTTGATCTTTGGTGATCTAACTTGAGATGATCTTTAATCTTGGGGAATAACATTTAGAAGATTAAAGCTGTAGTCCAATAATGAAAACCCTTGGACTCTTGAGAAAACACATGCTAACTTGTGTTTATAAGATGTGAAACTCGTTACTCATTTATTTCAGATAAGTGCTCTTACAGATTGAGCTTGTCACTAATTTCCTATTCTCAAAGTTAGATTTCTGTAATTTGTTTTCATGTAACTTGAAGCTTACTTGAAAGTATTCTACTCTTTGCACTAATACTGAATAAGTAAGATGTGACTAAAAAACTTAAGGATCACCATTTGACCTTTTATAAGGTCTGATGAAGGTAAAGGTTAGAGGATAAAAGCTTTTATTTAACAGATTCCATCTCAGACAAATTATGGCTAGCACTGGCGCATAAATTCCTTTGTGGTCTCCTAGATACTGCTGGTAATTCAATAAATACCCTTGGAGGCCAAATCAGGACTGTTTTAAAAATGTGCTGGGCATACTAGTGGTACATAAGATGATTTTAGCTAGTTCACAGATGTACATTTGTTTCAATAGTTGAATATTGAACATTTAAAATATATATATAAGAAAAAATAACTAGAACATCACACTCTTGATTTCATGGACATAATTGCCAAGAAAAGTGAGGGCAGCATCTTCACAGTAATTCACCACAGACAAAGCCCACTCACAGGTATGAAGATCAAGTGCCCAGAGGACCAGATGATTGATGGGTTCTACCACGAGCATCTATTAGCGACTGCTGCAGAACTGCTGTGGAAAAGGTTTCTATTTCATAAAAGAAAGTATCCAGAAGGCTAAAGGCAGTTGTGGAATTTATTTCTTCCCAGTGCTCTGAATGTCAAAATTTGAATAAAGCTCAGTGAAAGGAGGGGTATAATTAATGACTTGATAGCCAAACATCGTAATGATGAGTTAGTGACAGACTGGATGAAAGAGAGGTCACTGTCTTTTTATTACGGACTCATCATAAACAGTGTCACTCTTCTCAGGAAGAAACTTATTTTTAGAAATATAGTTTAATAAATTTCTCACATTATTTCTAATATTTTTTATTTTTTAAATTTTATTACCTGCTAGTTATATGTAAAGTGATTTTCCATTTATAGTAATGGTATAGTTTCCTTTCTATAAAAGGTTTATAAAGTTTATATAGAAAGTCAACTTAAAAATACCAAGTTAATTCAGTCAGTTCAAAAAATTTTGAATAAACTTGGATAGTCACTGCAATAAAGCCAAAGCCAAAGCCAGTTAATGGTTACAATTAAAGATTTAGCTTTTTAAAACCCTCACCTGTACGTACCCTTTTAATTTTTTTTCTTTCTTCTCCCTAACTTTACAGTTAACCAACAGCGAGACCAAGTCAAACGTATGTACACCAATCTTAAATTGTTTCATTAAGAGCTATGTGAATTCTGTCAGTGCATTATGATGAACAATGTCTAAGAGGATATTCTATGTTTGTTTCACAGGTTACTACTCTGTTGTGTATCCAGGCTGGCCCATATATCCACGTAACAGATACACTTCTCTCTTTCTCATTGTTAATTCAGTAATTATGATACTGTCTGTTATAATTACCATTTTGGTACAACACAAGTACCCTAATTTAGTTCTTTTGGACTAATACAATCCAGGAAAGAAAAAACCCAAAAATCAACCTTATTCAAATATGGCTTTTTGTTTTTTAAACCAATAATAGTGAATAACAATTAGGTGTATTTCTATTTTTAAAACATTTCAGAAAAGAAAATACATTGCAGCCATACTCTTACTCAAAAGAAGAAACTTCCTAACTCTATCAGATAAACTCATCTTTACTTCCCACTTTTCTATAAATAAGCATTGTTTGCTATAAATAAGCATTGTTTGCAGGTTGCCACAGGTGGACTTTCAGTAAGTAACTTAACCCATGTTTCAGCTTCTAAATCTGCAAAATGAGCAAGGTACAGTAGCACTTTTGAAGGTGATTCTTAGTAACTCCAGTAGCCATTATTACTTTTTGCATGCTGCTTCGACTCTAAATATCTGGTTTTCCCTGTTCTCTTGCAACCTGATGTCTTTCTGGTTTACCACTTTCCCAGATTCAGAACAGAGGAGTAACTAGGGGATCTGATTTTAGAGGCCTTAATTTTCTGTTCATGGACTGTTAAAAGTAAAACCAAATTTTCAAAAGGGATAAACCTAAATATTTGTTTGTTATCATTAAAGGGAGCATCAAATGCTGGGACATCATTATATCTGAAGACTAACCAATGGCATCAGACACTGGATTTAATGGATAATCACAATGGTCGTAATGTATACAAAGACATATATACCACTTTCTAGTACAAAATTTTCAAAAAACACAAAAATATAATAATTTATAAAGAACACTCTTCTATGAACCACTACTACCAAAACAAAACCCTCAGAAAATTTCTCACAAATAAGGCAACTAATGCCTGGTATCTCAAAATCCTTTACAAAAGGAGATAGTTCTAGTCAAGGAGTTTGGGGTATATTTTACTTTTTCTTCTTCTTTTTCTTTTCATCTGCCTCCATCTTCAGCGCAATTTCTTCAGCTGTAAGAGCTCCCAGTTTCTTATTCTTTGCTTTCTTAACCTTTTCCTTGATGCTGGCCACATCAATTTTAGTTTCAGTAGCAGCTAGACAATTTAAAAGCACAATACATGTAACACTTTAGATGTTACCAAGTAAAACAAAGAATATATTTTAAAGCAATAACTTCAGAGTCCTCTTATAATTGAAAAATCACAAAAAATCACAGTATAAAATATAAAAACACCTGCCTAAAGGAGTCAGAAATTTATTCAGACTAATAAATCATAAAATACTTTAATACATAAAAATGGCATGATTGATTGAACCAGTTACTGGATTCAACTATATTAACACTATTTCCTTAAATCCTACTTCAGACTAAATTATTTTACCTGCATTCTTTTCGATATTTTGGAACTTTTGAGTCCTCATTATTTTCCATCTTGCACATTAAAATAATTTAAAATTACAAGTATCCCTTCTCAGTAAGTTTAATCAGCTAACCATAAGCTAGAGGTCAAAATCTACTTCCTCTAATACCAAAACAAAAACTTAAAGTTTTCCAAATATTAATTCAATGAATGACTAATAGTATTCTATTTAACAAGAGTTTGCTGTATTTAACAACATTCTGGTAATAAAGACAATTTGGGCGTATTTGGAAGTTCCCCTAACAGGACCCAACTATCTAATCAATGCCAAAAGTCGGAGCAAAATAGAGAAAGGAAGCAGTGAAAAAGAATGCAACTTTTTCTTACTATTCACAGTACAGTATCACAGCATAAAAGAATCATAAGATAAAACATCATAATGTACAAACTACCTAGCAACCTGAGAAGCACAGAGCGTTAAAGCCTCCACCGTGTGGAGAAACTACATTAGGTTAACTAGCTATTGAGTACCTTCCAAGCACTCAACTGACAGGTTGTACAAACTGGAAATTAAAATACTTATGACATTTTTACCTTTTATATAACCAATAATCTACCACAGAATATAGTATTTTTAAAACTATTAACAAGCAATATGTTAAATAATGTATTATATCTGTTTCTGACCAAGTCTGTACAATATTGCTGGGGGGCCCTCTCCCCTCAGTGTCACTGTTCACTTTGGCGGGTTACTTTAGGAAGAGGACAAGTGCTACCACAGGGGGGAAAAATGCAGAAGAGGAGAGGATGCATCAGAATGTTATGAGAATGTTTTCTCTTAGTGTCTTTTAAATATTAGGTAAGTGGGAAAGTGATTGTGGTTTCTGCCATTTAAAAACCACAATCACTTTCACACTAATAGCTCATGAATAAGACACTTTTAGTCCAAAGTGATGAGAAATCCATGTTACCAATATAGAAGCCAAACTCTAAGCCAAAATCACATAAAGAGAAGAAAAAGTACAACTTCTGATAATTCCTCTTTGAGAGGCATGACAGCAGAGCTCAGGGATCGTCTTGCTTGCATTTCTACAGAAGACGTACTGGCTGCCCTGGGTTTGTATCTTTCACAACAAAGAGTCTTTCCTAAGCACAGACCAGAGGTCAGGAGAGGACTGTCAATCCAGTTTGCACTGAAATAGGCATTAGCTGCCTCTAAAGTCCTTAGGATCAGTAATTACTGAAATGCTAAGAGAACTGATGAAAATATACGATTATTTCTTAAAGAGATTCAGACAAATTCACTATGGGTTTACTTTTCATTACCTTCCTTAGGTTTCACAATTGGTTTTTCTTTAGGTGGAATAAATGCTTTGTTTCTTTCCTCTTGTTTCTTACTGATGGCTTCTGCTTGTTTAGCCTACATTAATAAATAAAAAATACATTAGTTAAATGTATTTATAGTTACATAATTCAAGTATCTATGAACTTTGCTATTAATCTTCTGAGCTAGACATAAAGTACCTTTATTGCTTCCATTTTCTGCCGCTTCTTCTGATTCGCCTTCAAGAAGTATTCACCACTAGCCAATTCTTTATCAATCTGTTGAAAACAGTATTTACAATTACATCAGAAATAATGTAGAGGAGAAGTCAGGTCCTAAGCAAGTCACAATATCCTTAGGGTAAAAACAATGGGGTCAAACTGATTTATTAATAAAAATGGTAGTGACATAAAGGAAGCAGAGTCTAAGCTGAGGGGAATACATACACAAAAGTGTGGAGGTAGGAAAGCACCTCCATGGAATACAACCCAGAGGAGTTCAGGGATACAGTATGGAAGGTCACTGATTCAGAAAAGTGTGAGAAGAAACTGGAGAGTGAGTTTTGGGAAAATTTGAAGAAGCTTCAATGGCAGACAAAGTAGGAGGGATAAGATTTAGAAATGACTGTGGGTTTCCGAGAAGACTGAAAAGACCAAAGCACAATTTTAATGGAGGGGAATGAGGAATAGATGAGAGCCTGGAATAAACGTAGTGGCATGCAGAATAAAAGCCAGAACGATCAGGAATTGGTGACTAATTAGCAAAAGCAACAGCTTGTTCATTCAATATACAGCCAACATGTAAAATGTGTATAACCGACTTGTCTGCCACTTATACAGCATTATTATATCTAAGGCACTGTTCTAAGCTCTTTACAATTATTCATTTAATCCTCATTAACGATTCTTTAAGACAGGTATTATCATTACTCCCATTTTAGGTATGGGGAAACTTAAGTACGGATGGGATAAATAACTTGCCCAGTCACATAATGAATAAGTAAGAACAAGACAATCGAGACATCACTGTTTCAAGAAGCTTACACAGCTAAGGAAGAAAGATAAGTCAATTAACTCCAAGAAAGGGTCATAAGAAGTAAGGCAGCTGTTACGGAAGCATGGTTTAATGACTGCCTCACTCCCCTTTCCCTGCAACTACTATCAATTTCCTCCATGATCCAACACTTCCATTGTTTTTTCACTATGATCATCATTTTTCCCATCAATCATCAAATCTTTCCTGAAAGACTCCAAACATGGTTGTGGAAAAAAGAGACATAGAAATCAGTGAGTTCACACGCTGAGCAGAAGTAGAAAGGGAAGGCTTTAGGATATAGCCAAGGAAGGGAATAATGAAGCAAGAACCCCCAGGAGAGAGGTGAAGATGGAATTCAAAGAACACATAGAAAAGGCTGATGCAGGTGGAAGCAAACATAGACGTGAGAGAAGAGGAAACAGAAGGGGTTCTTATCTGGTGGTCTCAAATATTTCAATAAAATGCAAAGTCATCTGCTAAACGTGGAAGGGCACTGAGAGAATTAAGAGGAAACATGAATTCTGAATGAATTTAATCCAAAGATAAAACTTTCTCTAACCTAATTTGGTAGCCACGTTATAGGGAAGACAAGTTTTTAGACTGATCCAAGTTTTAGAGTTTTGCTGAGAAGGTGTGACAGAACTAACAAGGGGCATGAATCAAAACAATGCTGTGCAAGAACAAAATGGCAACTGGTCATGGTGGGAAAGGAAACGAAGCAGAAGATAGCTGACAAAATGGAAAGGAATCATAACATAGAAACACGGTGGGTGTTACAATTTAAGATTTCAGAACTAGAACAATCATAGAGCATACAGTCACAAGAATGTTGCCAAAGCAGAGGAAAGAGTACTGCAGACTAAATTGTTGAACTTTTATCCATGGAACATTTACAGTGACTACAGGGACACAAACCGCCTGAATGCAGTTTATAATCAATGTGAAGGCCCCACTGCACACCCCCATGCACGCAGCTGAAAATATACCTATTTATATTTACTCTCAGTTTCTTATAGTTCTGCACACACACACGCAATATATATATATATATATATACACACACATATCCCACCTGAAATAACCTTCAATAAAGTTTCCGACCAAATATACTAAAATAGATTCCCCTTCATATAAAGTTCAACATTTAGTACTAACCTGACTTTCTGGCTGTGGTGGTGGGAATGGCGTATATTCTTTCTTAACAGTTTTTTTCTTTGGTTCCTTGCGTTTATTCACATTTTTATGTTTGAACTGCGGCAAAAATCTCTCCCAACTTTGTGATCGTAATTCAGAATCTTTTGCCAGCTCTCTCTTAATCATTAAGCTCTTTAGTCATGCAACAAAGTAAAAATTTTTACTTTCCAAAGTCACACATTTATCAAACTCAGACATAAATATTGCTTCTATAAATAATAAACAGTTTCTAGTTTCTTTGGTGAAATTAAACCAATCACATAAGGAAAAAGATAAGTTATCACAAACATGTATAATTATTAGAAAACCATTAGAAATTTAATTACAAAATGCAGAATTGTTAAAATGAGATGAAAATAAAACTGACTTTTCAACTATTATTTCATTAAAACATTTAAAAGTCAACTTATAAAAGCCGGGAGGGTTCTTAATTAGCTGATATTCCCTGCAAACAGGAAGTTTTCAGTAGCAACTGAAATATCATAGAAGAAGACAAAAGTAAACTTTCTCATGATTACAGAAAACCAATACTTTCACATTTCCCTATTCCATTTAAATTTTAGACCTTGGAACATCAGAGGATACAAACCAGGGATCAGACATATAGCTTTGTTTTTATCTGCAATATCCCAATGTAACTCAAAATCACTTTCCCCCTAATCTAACAGTGACTTCATAACTTAAGTTCATCAAATTTAAGTGGATTGCTCAACAAACCCATCATAAAATAGTTCTATATACCATGGTTACATTTCCAAGAATAATCAAACTTTGTGCACACTGGGATATAATGGATCTCTCTCAAAGGGGCTACAATTTGAGTGTTAAATTCAAAAAAAGGTTTTAATGCAACATGAGATATTCTAGATTTTAACAGAAAAAGGCAGAATTCTGAAAGATCGTATCTTTAAATATATGGGTGCATAATCTAAGAAAACTGCACTGATATGATCTACAACAAATTCTGTGAGGCTTATTTTCATTGATTAGAACTATATAACACATTACACACTACCCCCTTCAGTAGTTTCCACACTGTGCTCCATAGAGAGCTTCCAAGAAGTACCTACAAAACTGGGGTAAAGTAGGCTGAATTCTACCCCTAATTTACCCAAAATAGCTCTGCTTTATCTGTTTGTGCATTAGAATTTCATAAAACATTTAATTTCAAGAAAGGATTCTGTAGCTAAAAGAAGTATGATAATCACTGGTACAGTTACATAGAATTACCACTCACTTTAATGTTATAAATTGGATGAATATTCTTCATAGTATCTAGGACTACTTTTCTAACCTGAAATTTGCAAAGAAAAATGAATTAGTCACAAGGATTTTAATGAGCTATGGAGGAGACGATAAATACTGCAAAATATCTAATCAGGTAATGGGTATCAAATTAAATAATTTAATTAAATAATTAATCTAGATCTTTCATAGAGGCAGTCAAACCTCCCTTGAATACAATACAGTTTCTCAATTACTGCTAAAATGTAGCACAGAGAACTAATACAACACTGTATAGCAACGTGATTTAGGAAGAAGAGGGCTGGAATACAAGGACTGCCACTGCATACAGGAAGGTCACTTTCCTGTTTCAGCCTTCTCATTTGTAATATAAAGATAAAATCATATACCTCAAGACTCTATTGTAAGAATTAAATATTTTAAAGACTTTATAAAACTAAAGTATTCAATATACTTAATTATTGCTCCATGAGAAAAGAGCAGACAATTTATGACAAAAAGGGCCAATAGGATTACTATTAAAGGCCCTGGAAAGGAAGCACAACGTCACAAGCCAGATCCAGACAGTAATAGTACCAAAAAGAGTTAAAAGAAATAGCATTTGCTCCCCAGATTTTTTCACATTTAATTTAAAAAGTTAAAGAAAATGTTCATGAAAAGTTATTAAACATTATACTAAAATTCAAACAAAAGAAAATATATCTTGAAGAAAAGTTTTCAGAGTGTGACCTCTACTGGCTGTATACACTACTGCAAATAACTGGAGTTTTGCTCAATTTTCCCATCATTTGGGCATATGTGACTATTCCATGTTTTTCGTCTGTGCTACAGACTGAAGATCTTAAATGCTCATTTAAATGTTATAGTGGGAGGAGTAATAGTGTGCGGACCTTCTAATTCAGAAATGGATGTCTCCATAGTTGCCAAGGTTGGCCAAAACATGTTAGGGTCCAGAAATGATTCCCTTGAATTATATGACATAAAAAGTATTTACTAATGGGAAATCAAAGCACATTCTAAAAAAATAAAATTATAAAGCATTATCCAATAAACTATATTATAACCAAATTATTTGTTCTCTGCTGAAAATGAATTGAAGATAATACATAGTTCTCACCTCTTTTAAGCCACTAAAAGGTCCAATGGCTGAAACTGTGTTTCCCTGAACCATAATGTAACAATTAGTTAAGAGTTCCAATGCCTGTATCAAGAGATCAGGTTAAAATTCATTACTCTGAAAAATTATTAAGGGAGAGACTCAAGTTTTCCACTAATAAAAAAATACCTTCAATGTAGATCCTTTGGGACCAATAAGCCGTTGTCTTCGTTTTACAAATCTCTCTTTATTCCTTACTAAAGAACCTATTTTAATGATGTCACATGCAACATCATCCTGAAGAATTCGTACTGCCTTTTGCAAAAAAAAAAAAAAACAAAAAACAGACATTATCAACATTTTTTACAATTACATTTATTTTCCAAGCCCATGCTATTGTTATCTAAGCACAAATACGAAAACTTGATGGTGGAAGGCGGAAAAGATGGGATGTTATAGGTTAACACTGATGCAAACAAAGGAAAGCCTCTGTAATTTTAGATTTACCTGTTCAAATGAAACACTCCTTGCTAACAGTTTTATCAGATCTCTTGCCCTAATGATGATATATGGATCAAAAGTCTTCTTTGTAGTACGGACAGTCATGCTGCCTTCGATCAGGTCCAGGGTTGCATTAACATGCTACAAAAGGAAAGAGCAAACAAGCAGTTGTCTAAAAATGAGTTTATTTTTAGATAAATATAAAGCCTATCCTAACCAACCTATTAATTTCTGTCACCTCTCAATTCCTATCGATTACTTCCCTGAAGAAGCTAGGTAGTTAAGTATAAATACTGAATACTCAATTACTTTCACACTTTACAGACTATAAGAAACTGGAGCAATTGAAACCATTTACACTTGGTTTTAGAATACTTTGTACCCACTGGAATATAGATTGCCTCTAATTTTAAAATTATAAATGAAACAAATGGGGTCATACTTAAAATCTGACTAAGATAAAAATGTAAAGCTGTACAGCTTCCCTATTCTGGACCCAGCTCCAGTCTACCATCTGCTCCATTGGGTAAGAATTGACTTTCCCTTTCAAACTTTTTTCCTAGCTAATTAGGGGACTAAATACTAAGTAAAAGCAAATTAACATAGTTTCAGAAAAAAGCAACGATTAGAAAACTTAAGCATTAACTTTCAACAGGAAAAAACAGATTTCAACAAAGCAAATTAAAATGCTATTTTCTCACTTGTGAGCATAATCTCAAGAATATTTCAACATAGTTAAGTGTTGAACAATTCAATATATGGTTGGGTCTCTATGAGTTTACAAAAAAAAAAAAGAGCTCAATCCCAGACGCAGCTATAAAACACAACCTGCAGCTTGCTGAGCCACCTTCACCCACAATGGCACAACCAACTCCGGAGCAGTCCCACAGTGAGAAACACATTTTATATCACAACCTAATAAATGTACACCCACCCACCCACACACACACACACAACTAAGCCAATATGAAAAAAACATACTTTTACCATGTGATATGTCATTTTCTAAAGGCTCCTTATAGCCATTAAATTGACTTCTCAATACACTAATGGGTTTCAATACCCAGTTTGGGAAAAAAAAAAAAAATGCAGTTATCTAGGGTTATAGCATCAGCAATAAACAAGGAAAAGTTGGATACATTCACATCTTCCGTTTAAGATGAAAAGTAATCCAATTAGAAACATGACTCAGCTCAGACTGGGACAGATACATGACAACTATCATGGCCTGGAGCAGACATTCTGAAATTGAGACTTCACAGGTGAATTTCAGACAGTTGTGAAGCTCCTAAAATATTAAAGGTATGCAAATTTTTCAAAGTAATTTATTACTCATAAAATTAAAAACAAATGAACATTAGGTAAGAAGAAAATGTACCTAAATAGTTTAAAATACCAAAGGAACCAAAGTAACCAGCTATGTTACCACTATTAAAAAAAAAAATGCATCAGCATACATACACTTAAAGGCATAATAAGCAAGAGCAAAGTCTCAAATAAATGTATTATTATAAGATACACATACATGTTCATTCAAGGCTTTCTGCACCAATGGCCAACACTCTTTCAAGTAAGCTTCTCTGTATTTTGGGAACAAAGTTGAGAAACTGCTCTCCTCCAAAAGTCCTCTGGGATTGTCCTCTTTGGAAAAAGCTGGTTCCTTCCAGCCATCGGGAACAGTAAGGAGTTCTGATTCATCTACAGAAAGGAAAAAATTGACACATCACATTTTAACTGTCTTTTGGACACTTTATGAACATCCTATGCACATATTCATAAGCCTTCCAGTACTTCTTGCATTTCCTTTTCCCCGCTTTTTATATTATTCAAGAGTCGAAGAACATTCCTCTGTCATTATCAATTCACTGTATTAAAATTATCTGTACATACTTCAGTTGCCTCATAAGACAAAGTTCCTTAAGAGCAGAATCCCTCTTCATGCCAACTGGCATATGCCAGACAGTGAGCACTCCAGAAACGTGTACTGCATTACACTACCATAAAACTGAAGATCTCAATGCCATTTTGTTTAGTATTTTAAATACAATTAACCTTTCTGACTTTCCTGGAGTGTATGGAACCTGGGTGTGTGTGTTTGTATACAACTTCTGAAAGAGGATTCTAGTTTATCTTTCAGTTAATAATCTCGGGTAATTCTAGATTTTCCTAAGCGTTTTGAGTGCCTTATTTCCACATGCGTTTCATAACTATAAAAGGTAGAATCTGTATTATTCTCATTTTATAGAAGATAGTCTAAAAAGGCTAAGTGACTTGCCTAAGGGAACACAAAGCTGACTCAGCCTGGGACTCCTTTCACTACAAGAAAATGCCTAAGGGCCATAAATTATCTTCTGAATCATGTATTTAAAAAACTTGGTACTGAATTTTAAGAACTCCTTAAATTCAACAGCTATACTCTAATTCAGTTATACTAAAAGGTATGCTCCATAGACTTTCAGTATCAGTATAAACTGTTAAGTCTGTCAGAAATGCAATTATTGGGCCCCACTCCAGACCTACTGAATCAGAATCTCTTCGACAAGGGACAGAAGTCTGTGTTTTACCACGCTCAACAGGAGACTC